GTTTTTTGACCAGCCAGAGATCTGGACAGAGGGTATTTACCAGCCACAAACAACCGGAGATCTCTATTGGACAACCTCAGGTAGCACAGGATAGGACCTCAGTCTCACCTCCAGCTGAGTACTAACACCTAGTATGGGTCCACAGGTGATTCCGTATGGACCTTTGCCACAGGCATTGTAGGATTACTTTTGGGAAGTAGTATGTCATTAACAGGATTGATAGTGACCCCAGGGGTAACGAATGCAGATTACTTGGGTGAGATCATGGTTATCGCTTCAGCCGCTCAAATTATTTAGCTTCTTGAATCTGACTGTGCGGCACAAGTTGTGCTGTTGCTTGCTGTCTTAGAAGGACAAGTATTGACTACAGAGCCTAGAGGAAAACGAGGATTTGGATCCTCAGGCCAGCCTACCTTCTTCAGGCTATATGAGAAATTTGGCCCTTGTATACTCTAACATTACGAGGGTGAAAATTCCAGGGACTTTTAGATACTGGTACTGATGTTTCAGTTATAGCCCCAAAGCACTGGCTCAGAAATTGACCCTGTGAATGTACTAACTCTACATTGGAAGGGGTAGGATATGTTAATTTACCAACCAAAGGTTGGACAGATGAGGAGGGTCATACGGGACAGTTTCAACCCTATGTTTTGTCTGATGTGAGTTTGAACTTATAGGGCTGAGATGTACTTAAAAAAAATGGGGTCGCATTTAGATAGTCCTTCTTCACCCATGACACAAATGATGCTGAACCAGGATCTGGAAAAGATGGCCCAGGGTTGATGGCCCCATATGCCAACATTTCAAAATTTAGACAACAAAGGGATAGAGTACTCAGATACACATTTTGGATAGGAGCCTTGGTAGAGCCCCAACCATTAGGACTGCTCCTCCAATAAATTGGCTTTCAGAGGAGCCTGTCTGGGTTGACCAATGGCCCCTAACTGGGGAAAAAAATTGAGGTGGCTAGACAACTTGTTCAAGAACAGCTAAAATCAGAACATACCAAGCAAGCCTTAGTCCTTGAAATGCTCCTATTTTTATCACCCAGAAAAAAAAATCTGGAAAACAGAAGTTACTACAAGACTTAAGTGCTAGGTTTGATTTGGGATTGGCAGCGGAGTCAGAGGCAGCAAAGAAAGAAATGACCAGAGTCAGGCCTGGTATAAAACCCAGCAAAATTCATTCTGCGAAAAGCAGTTGGGTGAGGTCCTGCGATCTATTAGAGGCCAGGGGAGTCACACCTAGAGGATTGCTGCTCATTCTCTTTTTGGGGCCCTTGTTCATTGTGCAGTTGCCGCAGCATTATGGCATCCTGTCCTGGCCAATGGGAGACGATGTTTCTGTTCAGCTGGTGTCGGGTGCAGCCAAATGCAGAGGGCGGGAAAGTCCATTGGTGATGGGATGCCAGATGTAGAAAACGGGAGAGTCCCTGCTGGTGGAAAAAGTTCCTGCTGGCGGGAAAGTTTCTGCCAGTGGGAAAGTTTCCGCCATGTTTCTTTTCCCTTCCCCGAGACCCTACATTAAGAAATGTCAATGCCAGGACCAGCAGAGGGCATAGTGGTTATGTCACTGGACTCCCACATGGTCAACTGTAGTTCGATTCAGTTTGGGTCCTGGACCTGGAAGCTTGAAACTCAGGCTGGTGTGTGTGTGTGCATGCCAGGACGATGGGAAGAAAACGGAGGAAAAGGGATTGTGGCATGGCCACCCCCACCCCTTGGGGGTAATTTCTCACTTTCTGTCTGTCTCTCTGACAAGTGCATGTGCCCTATAGCAAACCCCCCTCCCCCCCACCAAAAAAAAATGACATCCACACTCTGCTTCTCCTCGGAAGCTTACCGCGGAAGGTATGAATGAGTAGAACTAGTCATTCAAAATGCCTGTTTGTCACAGGTGAACAAAGACTTACCTATCACTATCCTAATCTTTCCAACTTCACACACACCCACTGGAGCCATTTGGCAACCTCTGGGCGTCCTTGAATCTTCAAACATTTTCAATCATCTCCTGCATGGTCTCTTACCTCATTTCCTATAGCAGTAAGCTGCACTTATCATAAAAGGAAGAACACGCTCAGACACGCACCATCCAACGGTTAGGACATGAACCTCAATCTATCATAACTCCTTTCTCCAAAGAACAACAGCTTGAACTGTGGCAATTAGATCTTGTTTGGCAAATAGCTTTTGGTAACTTTCCTGGCTGGGTTGATTGCCATTACCCTTCAGATCCTATTACAAGATTTGCCTGTACTACTTCTTTTGTTTTCCTAAAGTAGTTTCACCTAAGCCTAGTTCAAATGCTGTAGTATTTACTGATGGATGTAGCAGCTGGCACATGGGCTATTGATCACAAAATAGAAGTTATATATAACCCATTTTGTTCTTTACAGCATGCAGAACTTTGTGCTGTGAGAGCTATCTTAACAGACTTCCTACATCAGGCTGTAAATACCTATTTGGGCAGTTTTTATGTAGTCCCAGTTATTAAAAAAATTGAAACTGCCATTCTCACTAACATATCACAGTAAAGCCTTTTTCATGCTTTTCTGCAAATCTAAAATCTGTTACAAAAATGAAAATTCCTCACTCTATTGGTCACGTAAGAGCTCATTCTAATCTCCCTGGAGCCCTTACTTTTGGAAACCACCAAGCTGATTCTCAGCTTGTGGTCATTGTCTTAGAAACTCCTGAAGATCAGGCAAAACACTCACATAATCTTTTTCACCAAAAATGCTGCTGCCCTACGCAATATTCTATCATGAGATAACGAGCATGAGACATTGTAAAAAAATTCCAAATTCTGTTCCTTTTCTTCCCTCTCTTCCTATGGGAGTTAACCCCAGAGGTTTAGCCTCCAATCATGTTTGGCAAATGGATGTAACTTATTATGCCCCCTTTGGGTGACAAAGTTATTTACATGTCACTGTTGATTCCTACTCGGTTTCATTTTTGCTTCTCCTTTGACAGGTGAAACAACCAAACACGTAATTACATATTGCCTTGCAGCAATAGCAGTAATAGGAAAAACAAGATATATAAAAATGGACAATGGTCCAGCTTACACTAGTAAAGCTTTTCAGCAATTTTGTGACAAATTCCATGTTCTTCATATTGCAGGTGTACCTTATAAACCTTAAGGTCAAGCAATAGCAGAAAGGGCCAACCAGCATTTAAAAACACAATTAGAAAAAGGGGAGACAGGGTAATCCCTGTGACTCCTCACTCTAAACTTTAATTTGCCTTATATACTTTAATTTTTTAAAATACCACATCAGAGGGCCTCACAGCTGCAGAAATTCATTACCAAGGGAGAGAAAAAGCTAAACCTCAATATACAAAATGGAAAGATTTCAGCTCAGGAGAGTGGAAGGGACCCAATGTGGTGTTAGCGTGCGGTTAAGGGTATGCGTGTTATTTTTCCAGAATCATCGCTGAGGCCAGTGTGGGTTCCAACTTGACTTGTGAGACCACTGGACAATGGAACAACCAGAGGATGAACCAATAAAACAGATATGGAAGAGAATGTAGGACCTAAATCTGGACAAAGTACCCAAGAAAGCAAAGAAAAAAATAAGAAAGGCAAAATTGACACAGATGTTCCAACCCCCAACAGAGGGACAGATGAAATGTCTGAACAAAAAAGTGCAATTAGCAAGAGGCCAGAGAGTGCCAAATACAGCTTCTCTGTTAAATTCGGCCATGATATATCGATTTTACAGTCTGTGGACTCATGGCTGGGAGTGGGAGGGTGGGGTCCTAATGCCTTTCTCAGTTACAGGCAAGCACTCTCAGGCAGCAGCTTTTCAGCTCCACAGACTCAAATTAGAAAAAGAAAAAGGGAGTGGCCAGATTTGGACAAGGCACTAGTGACCTTTAAAGTAGATACGGTCTTTGTGTTGACGTTGCAGGGCAAGCAAAGCTCTAATAAAGACATAACCTATTGTTGCACTGCAGGGCAGTGTAAATGAAAGGAAGCCGAGTGTCAGCCAGAGGAGGCCAGGAGAGACTTGTCGAGAACCACAGGACACACGATGCTCCGTAACTGCAGTTGACAATAAAAAATACTTGGCTCAACCTTCCATTTCTCCCTCCCCCATTGCTCTATTAATGAATAAACCTGGAAATGGCTCCGTGCTTTGGCAATCGCCATTGGGGGTTTCCAGACCATCCAGTCCCTGCTTTTCTCTACTTGTGTGTGTGCCTGTCTGTTCTTTTTGAATCCACCCCCACTCCTCCTTGAGGTCCATGTCCATGCCTTTCAGGCCAAGGCAATTGCATAGTAGTTTGAGGGTTTTATTAACCTTAGTCTCTGAGGGATCAGCAGACCATAGTGTTCTGTACTTCTTGTTAGAATAAAGTTACTAAATAGAAACTTGCCCTTAGCTACAGTAGTTTTGAGTCCCAATGCAGCCAGTTTTGGCTGTGAAAATTTTGCCATTGTAACTTCATCTTGGGCATCTACCCTGTCTGTGAGCTCAATATCCCTGTCTCTTGCCTCTTTAGCAAGGAGTCATACATTCTTTACCATAGGGAAAAACACAGATTTCATTTAAAGATGAAAATAAAACACAGTGTCTTCCTTTTGGGGTCCTTACCATATATACCCGTGAGTGGGGTCTAACTCCTATCTCAATTATAGGCAAGCACTCTCAGATTTAGGGCTTCCCCCATATGAGGTGTTAGGAATGTTAGGAATATTAATTCCCATTGTGCACAGCAGTTCAGAGACTCTCCTTAGGGCTCTAGCACTTGAACCTCTCCTCCAAAGATGATTTTCTTGCTTTGACTTTCCCACAGTTACCTTTTATGTTTAGCACATTAATGACAAGCTAATGAGTCAAATGAATTATCCTGGCAAGTTCCTGGGAATCTTTCAAAATCTTGTTTATTTAGTCCTGTTGTGTAAAGAATGGGTGTGGCTTCCAAAGAACCTTATCTACTCCAATAGTGGCTTTGTGGATATATAATCAAATGCTTCCTGATTTTGTTCCATAGATTTTTGGCTACTAAAAACTTGAGAACTAAATTCTATGATCCAGACTCAGCCCCACACCTAGTGTCCCAGCACGGAGGATGCAAATTAAAAGTTGAGTCAGAGACCCTCTGGCAGGAAGAAAACAGCCCAATCACGTTCATCTGGTTTCTGGAGTTTGTGACAAAGCCTGTCTACATCAGGAGGTCTGAAGATTGGAAAGGGCTGTCTCTCAATAGAGCTCTTTCTCTACAAGACAAAGTGATACACAGTTTGGTAAGTTCTAACAGGGGTTGGGGTGAATAAGAAGAGAAGAGAATATGATCAGAGATAGACATGTTCAGGATGGGTTTATGAAATGAGTCAGAGATTTTTTTCTTCCCTACATATTTTGACCTAAGAGAAAGCAAGCACTTTTCCCTGGAGTTTTATCAGCCCTGGTCCCAGCTGACTTGGATCATGGGCACAGTTGTGTATACCCAGTGTACTCAGGGAGGACCCAGGATGCAAACCCAGGACTCTCCCATGTGGATCTAGTTCTGTTACAACTGACCCTCCATCTGACCCCTCTTGTTAATATAAAATCATGCTATCTTATTTACTCCAAGAATGTTTTTTGACTTGAAATCTATATTGTCAGGCATAAATATGTATATGCTTGGGATCAGGAAATGGTATGATGTTTATGTCCTTGGACTCCTACATGTCCGACTGTGGTTTGAATCCTGGACCAGGTGGCTTGAAACTCACACTGTGTGTGTTTGATTGTGTCCAAAATCCTGAGAGGAGGATGTAGGAGAAGAGATTGTGGCATGGCCATCTCCCCTGGGGGATTATTTTTCACTTTCTATCTCTCTGTTTCTCTCTGTCTCTCCAGCAAGTGCATGTGCCCTATAGAAAAACTCTCAAAAAAAAAAGTATATACTCATCATATTTTGGTATTTGCCTCATTTGTCTTTCTCATTTTTTAAATTTCAATTGTTTAATCTTAATGTTCTAAATGTGTTTTTTGTTTAAATAGCATATTTCTAGTTTTAGTTTTGTATTTAATCTGACAATCTGTGATTTTCACATGAGGGAGAGTCAATCTATTTATATTTGCTTTATTTATTTATTTATTTATTTATTTATTTATTTATTTATTTTTGTTTATTTATTTTGAGAGGTTTTTGCTATAGGGCATGTGCCAGAACAACAGAGAGAGTCAGAGGGAGAGAAAGCAAGAAATCAGCCCCTAGTGGGGAAGGCCATGCCTCAGTCCCTTATCCTCCATTCTCCTCTAGGGATCTTGGGCACACACGCACATGCACCTGGTGTGAGGTTTTTTTTTTTTTTTGAGAGGTTTTTGCTATTGGGTGTGTGTGCTCACCAGACAGACAGAGAGAGACAGAGAGACAGAAAGCAGGAAATCACCCCCAGGGGGGATGGCCACGCCACAATCCCTTCTCTTCCATTCTTTTCTTGGGATCTTGGGCACGCACGCACACGCGCCCGGTGTAAGTCTAAGCCACTGGGTCTGGGATGTGAACTGCAGTCGACTACATGGGAGTCCAGTGACATAGCCATTATGCTAACTGTTGGTCCCCACCTAGTGTGAGTTTAAGCCACTGGATCTGGGACTTGAACCTTGGTCTACTACATGGGAGTCCAGCAACATAACCATTATGCCAACTGTTGGTTCCTACTATATTTCTTATATATTTTGATTGACTTATTTAATTAAGTTTGTTTTCTATGTTTTTGCCCTATGTCTTTTGCTGAATTAGTCATGTTTTCTTTCTTCTTTCTCCCTTAAGGCCTATACTCAATTTGTATTCAGTTAGTGTTATTCTTATATCTTTAACATTCATATGTGATTGAAGAAAATCTAAATTACTTTTGAAATTTGCCAGAGAGTGCATGCACTCACTGGAAATAGGTGAGAGAGAAAGAGAGAGAGAGAGAGAGAGAGAGAGAGAGAGAGAGAGAGAAAGCATCCCCATGAAAGATGGCCACACTACAATCCCATTTCTTCTATTCTCCTCTCAAGATTTTGGGCACACACACCTACATGCCTGGTGTGATTTTTCAAGCTGCTGGTCAGAGACTCAGGCTGTGTAGTTGGCTATGTGGTATCCCACAATCCCTTTACCACCATGTCACGTTCTCTCTCTCTCTCAATATATATATGTGTGTGTGTGTATGTATGTATATATTTATATATATGAGACTTTTTTGCCATAGGGTACATGTGCTCCCTGGAGAGAGAGAGAGAGAGAGAGAGAGAGAGAGAACAAGTGAGATAGAAAGTAAAAAATCACTCCCAGGGAGGATGGCCACACTGCAACTCCTTCTCCTCTGTTCTCCTCTTGGGATCTTAGGCATGCATGCACACACACCTGGTGTGATTTTTCTAGCCACCAGATCTAAGACTTGACTGTAGTCAGCCATGTGAGAGGACAATGATGTAACCACTATGCCATCTGCTGGCCCGTGTTTTATAAAGTTTATTTATTTATGAATAGTTCTTCCATATGTGAGAGAGTAAGAGAGAGACAGACATAAGGAACTCTCCAAAAAGTCTTAATGTCTTGATTCATCCCTACCTTCAGTCAACTAAGTTCTACTAAATGTGGCTAGAATAACGAATGTACATATCATTTAGTCTCTGGAATTTTCCAGAAACTTTTCCAGAGAATTTTCCTTACTCTGACTCATTGGTTTCCTATCTCATCTTTCTTGCCTTTTTAACATGCCACACTCTTCTAATTTCTTGGCTAACCTCACTGCAATCCCATTCCCAAGCAAGCAATCCATTTTGGAATTATTTTATGACTTTTACGTAGTACTCTCCTGATCCCTTCTGAGTGTGAGAGTAGTGAACAATTACAGAGCTATTAGTAGACAACTTGGAAAATTCCTCTTTTCATATGTGTAGGTTCTACTTTCAAAGTAGACTAGGATCCGGCCATTTCTCATCACTTCGAGTGCCAAGTGATGGCCTGATCCCCCCATCAGCTCTTACCTGGATTATTGTAAAGATGCTCACTAAACTTCCCCCTTCTTCCCTTTCTGCCTTATCACAGTCTATCATCAACAGAGCAAACACAGACCTCCTTTCATCAGGTATTCTACTTGTGGGTTCAAAGCCCTCTGATAACTTTCAGCCTTGCTTCAAGTAAAGTGATGCTAATGCCCGATAGGTGCTTATACAAAAGTGTCTTCAGTTGTTTTTCCCCTCATCTTGTTCTAGTTTGTTCTGTTGTTAATAACAGAAATACTGGAACTTGACTACTGTAAGAGAATAGAGGTTCATTTAGCTCATTGTTTGGGAGGCTGAGAAGTCCTTGAGCCTGGAGGTGGCATCTGGTGAGGGTCTCCTTGCATCATGATAAGGAAGAGGGCAGGAGAACATGCGTCTGTGTCCAAATATCTCTGTCTCATTCCCTCTTCTTATCACCTATGAGGACTCATCGCCAGACCCTACCCTAGTCCCCTTTCAAAGGCTCTACCACTTAATCTGATAGTTGTATTAAGTCTCTTCGCAACAGAACCAAGTTCTAGCACATGAACTTTTGGGGGAAACATTTAAACCATAGCAGACTTCATCTTTTTTTTTTTTCCTTCCATTACACTTGTTTCTGGCGATGCATTGCTTCAGAGTACTTCTCTACCTTTTCCTCACATAATTTATTGTTTTTTGTCTGTTTGTTTGCTACAGGATATATGTACTTTACAGGAGAGAGAGAAAAAGACACAGACAGAAAGATAAACTGAGAAAGCACCCCCTAGGGGTGAATGGCCATGCCACAATTCTTTCTCGTCCTTTCTTCTCTGAGGATTTTGGGTATGCATAAACATGCACCCCACATGTTTTCCAAGCGTCTGGGTCTAGGACTCCAACCATGGCCTTGTGGGATCCAGTGCCTTAACTACCACACCATTGGCTGACCCCACATAGTTCATTGCTTACACTCTACCTCCTATACATTTTTGCTTAAATACGATCTCTCTGTGAGGTTTCCCTTTTAAAATTGTCAACATCCTCGACCTCTACTTGTACCCCTTAATGCAAATCCAGCCTTCTGTTTGGATGATGATTAGTATTGAGACCTTCCTCTTTCCTGTCTTTTTGAGTATCCTCGGGGTAGAGATGTGGGGATATGCAGGCTTTCCTCGTCCAATGACAGGAGCAGTGACTTTTACAGCAGTGCTCGTGTCAGAAATCAAGACTATCTTTCAAATAATGAAGTTAAGAGATTTATAATCTAGAAGCAAGCCATGCTATGAAGGAGAGGCATTGTATGTCCTCACTTAATATATACCGAGTGTCTGCACTCTAAAAAAAAAGAAATAATAATAAAACCATATTGCTTCTGTTGTTATAGAGTCATAAAATTATACAACATTATAAGACATATTTTGAACATTATCTTTAAAATTCAGTATTTTGAAATTTTGAAAGTTGTTTGTAAACTGTCAAGAATTATGGAGTATGAGCTAAAATTTTTTGCTATGTAAAGTAAATGTTTGTGGAAAAATGTAAAAATAAATAAATGAAAGAAAAAAAAGAGATTTATAATCTAGTCCCTATTTAAAATTAAGTCCTAATTCTCTCATATATAAAAGTCTTTTAGGAAAAATATCAGGGTTTCTTTCCTCTCCCAACTGAACCGTGTACTCCCCTTTTATCTGACCCTAGCAACATGTCCCCTGCATTTGAAAGAATTACTAAGAAGATGGTCAGAAAGCATGTGAGCAAAGACATGAAGCCTATCAAACACCCGTTCAGCGCTACCAAGTTCCGTCGGCTCAGTTTATTCCGGGATCGGTCTCACTTCAGGTTTCTGGGACTATATGAAGATGATCCCATTGACTGTTCCCTCATGGACATCCTGGAGCCAAACTCTCCAGTCCCAGGTATTGTCAGCCAGGGCAGGGAGAAGTGAAAAACACACCATTGGCTGACCCCACATAGTTCATTGCTTACACTCTACCTCCTATACATTTTTGCTTAAATACGATCTCTCTGTGAGGTTTCCCTTTTAAAATTGTCAACATCCTCGACCTCTACTTGTACCCCTTAATGCAAATCCAGCCTTCTGTTTGGATGATGATTAGTATTGAGACCTTCCTCTTTCCTGTCTTTTTGAGTATCCTCGGGGTAGAGATGTGGGGATATGCAGGCTTTCCTCGTCCAATGACAGGAGCAGTGACTTTTACAGCAGTGCTCGTGTCAGAAATCAAGACTATCTTTCAAATAATGAAGTTAAGAGATTTATAATCTAGAAGCAAGCCATGCTATGAAGGAGAGGCATTGTATGTCCTCACTTAATATATACCGAGTGTCTGCACTCTAAAAAAAAAGAAATAATAATAAAACCATATTGCTTCTGTTGTTATAGAGTCATAAAATTATACAACATTATAAGACATATTTTGAACATTATCTTTAAAATTCAGTATTTTGAAATTTTGAAAGTTGTTTGTAAACTGTCAAGAATTATGGAGTATGAGCTAAAATTTTTTGCTATGTAAAGTAAATGTTTGTGGAAAAATGTAAAAATAAATAAATGAAAGAAAAAAAAGAGATTTATAATCTAGTCCCTATTTAAAATTAAGTCCTAATTCTCTCATATATAAAAGTCTTTTAGGAAAAATATCAGGGTTTCTTTCCTCTCCCAACTGAACCGTGTACTCCCCTTTTATCTGACCCTAGCAACATGTCCCCTGCATTTGAAAGAATTACTAAGAAGATGGTCAGAAAGCATGTGAGCAAAGACATGAAGCCTATCAAACACCCGTTCAGCGCTACCAAGTTCCGTCGGCTCAGTTTATTCCGGGATCGGTCTCACTTCAGGTTTCTGGGACTATATGAAGATGATCCCATTGACTGTTCCCTCATGGACATCCTGGAGCCAAACTCTCCAGTCCCAGGTATTGTCAGCCAGGGCAGGGAGAAGTGAAAAACAAGGGATAAGACATAGCATACTACCCAAGAATCCCTCAGACACTTGGGCAGGTAGAGCTCAGTGTCCACCTGCTCTAAAGGGAAGGGAGGGGGATTAACGTTATCTGAGAGTCTACTAATTCTCTGGACATGAGTATTCATTAGATCATTCAATACTTACATCAGCCTCTTGAGGTGCAACTGTTATTCCCATTTCACATAAGAGCAAATTGAAGTTTGTAAAATAATTCATTCATAATTGTATATCTGGGAGTTGGAAGAACTAGGGTGAAGACTCAGGTCTATCTGTCTCTACGTCTCAGACGGCTTCTGCTCCTGTGTGCTGCCTGCTGGGCTGAATGTTGTATGAGCTGCACAGCACAGGAGAGGCTGAGCCTGGGTTCTCCTGGACACTGTATGTGCAGTGTCCCCATTTCTTAGGGTTAAGATTTTATCCCTGCTATATGATACTTGAGTTGATTCAAAAATTTGTCTTCCAGAGTAATTACACTTCAAATACTAATTAATTAGTTAGTTTCTTCATGGAAAGATTGAGGTAGAAAGATTGGGGTAAAATTGGCCTCATTCATAAAATTTCCCATACTTCCTGTTTTTTTTTCTTACTTTTTTTTTTCTTTTTGGAGAGGTTTTTGCTATAGGGCGCATGCGCTCGCCAGACAGACAGAGAGAAAGCAAGAAATCACCCCCCAGGGGGGATGGCCACGCCACAATCCCTTCTCCTCCATTCTCCTTTCGGGATCTTGGGCACGCACACGCGCCCGGCGTGAGTTTAAGCCACCGGGTCCAGGACTTGAACCGCGGTCGACTATATGGGAGCCCAGTGACATAGCCATTATGCTAACTGCTGGTCCCTATACTACCTGTCTTTGACTGAATTCTTGGCTAAACCTAAGGATACTCTTTTTCTCTCCAGAAACGGTTGTAATAGGAAAATTCCCCATCAGTGACACTGAGATCAAGATGCAGAAAGCTGGTGTAGGTGTGAACGCTGGTGCAGAACTGAGTGTGTCAGGGGAGGCAACTCAGTTTTATGAATCTTCCTTTGAGATTCAGATAATGAACATCCCACCCAAAAATCTGGATGTCCTTCGAAACAGGTAAGGCCATGAAAGTGGAAGGCATGATCATCAAGCCCAGTGGTGCTTTCTTTACAGGCAGAGGAATCTAGAGACTTTGTTGCTGGGATTAAAATGATAACATTTAGATTTTGCTACTCTTTTAAAAATCATTTTTAGAGGCATTTTTGCTCTGGAGGGACAGAGATAGAGAGAAAGACAAAAGGTGAGAAATCACCCCCAGGGAGGATGGCCACACCGTAATCCATTCTCCATTCTCTTCTTGGGATTTTGGGCATACATGCACAAAGCCACCGGGTCTGGCACTCAAACTGTGGTTGACCACGTGGGAGTCCAGTGATGTAACCATTATGCCATCTGCTGGTGTCAGATTTTGCTACTCTTTTTGGGTGTCCATTCTTTCCTTCCTTCAAGTAATAGCTATTCTTTATCTAATAAATAGTTATTAGAGCAGTAATTGTTCACTCTTATGATATTATATGCTGGGATAGTAGGACACATAAGTCCCTGTCCTGAAACAGCTTATATTTGGTGGAGACAAAGAATAGGCCATTCTGAAAAAAATAAGAAATAAAAAATAAATTTATAAATTATTTGTTTGAATTAGACACAGCTTTTTGATTAAATAATGTATGTAGCAGTGCTTGGGATTATTAAAAAATATTTTTATAGCTTTACTGAGTTCTAATTTATAAATAACCACTGTATAACTTTAAGTGT